TCACATTCTCTCTATGCTTCTTTCTCTCCTTTACTACCATCTCCTTCTTGTCCTTTAAGCCTTCCCCCCAAAAAAAATATAAAAGCAAATCTTTGTTATGAATACAAATAATAATTTTATTATGGTCTTAGCAAAAAGAAGCCACATCAGTGGTATCAAAGAGCCGCAGGTTGCAGACATTTGCTTCTCATGGATTCATGGTTCTCAAACTGTACTTCTGGTGGTACACTATTTAGATTCTTGGTTATTCAAGATGGTGTAAATCCTAAAGGTTTTAAATCCAAGCATATAGACTTCCATTGTGTTGTTAAAGATGTTTCATTTCCTATCTGGGAATCTTGCTTGGATAAAAATGTAGGATTGGCAGGTTTAGTGTTGTGCATTTAGTAGGTTTAGAGATGCGTGTTTGGCTCATGTTTCTTTGTCCTCATCTTGAGGCCAGACCCTTTGCTAAGCACTAAGAAGCTGTAATGTTCTTTAATATTGGTGTCCAGATGGGACAATGGTAACCAGAAATTACAGATACAAACAGATACAATGGGTGACATGATAAGTCTAAAACTAGGGCCCAGTCCATGTAAACAACAGTGAGATATAAGGGCCTCTCCTTCTGAGTCATCACTCAATTTAAAGGGGCTATATCATGTAAAATCAACTTTTTTGAGTTTTATATCATGTTATAATGTTATACTCTCATAAAAAACATGACCAAAGCCTTGCTCTGTGCATTCAGGCATGTTTGAGAAATCCTGCAGAGTTTTTAGGAAGCCATGCTGAGTTGCAAAGTGAGAGGTGGGGACCAGAAACGCCTTTGGGGGGCAGAAACGCCCCTGGGACGTGTCTTTAAGCCGAACTTCCTCATGGCAGAGCGCACCCCCTTATCCCCTCCCCACACACCCCGCCCATGACTCCTGCAGGCTCTCGGGTCAAAGCGAAAGTGAAACCTAGCTTCTGAGCTCTCAACATTAGTTCTCACTCAGTGAAGTTCTTCTCAGATTAAAAATACTGTACCTTTGAGGAAATGTACTTTCAGATGCCAAGTAAACTGCATCATAGCACACACGCAATCCCCTCTGAACCAGACTGGACCACACTGCCTCACCCCTGCTTGTTTTCCTGTCCCTCTGGGCTCTGGTGTGTGTTTGAAGTGTGCCGACTCAACACGGGCAGGAGCGACAACCAGGAAATAGGGGGAATGGGAGGGACAAACCCACTACTCCTTGTGTTCTGCTTCAACAGGAGCAGAGAAAGATAGGCAAGTCCAAAGTAAGCAACTCACGTTCAAAAATAAGCCCAAAAAACCACAACCTGCGACTCACGGAATTTACAACCGACTTTAGAAAAAGAGAAGCCCAAAGTCACTTATAATAAGCAGAACTGGCAACACTGATTCTGACAGTGAGTGTGATGGGACCGAGATGACCTCAGGCATCCCTGCAGCCTCTACATGACCCTGTGTGGTCGAACATGTGCTTGTGCAATGGAAAACCTGTCTGCGGCGATGACAGGAGTAAACTGATTAGCGTGAGTTCAGACCACAGTGACTCACCAGTGTAGATTAGGTTGATCGGTCTGTCAGGGGCTCCTATGAATGGCTCAGACAGATTACAGCTCTGCAGATCAGCAGAGATGCAAGGACAATGGAGACAGACTGCATCAGGTGAACTGTCCATCTTTGCAGTAAAATGCCAAAGTATTTCCAGCACAGTAAATAGAATAATAAAATAATGTGTAAAAACAACATCTAACTTGTTATTCCTATGTAAGGTATCTTAATAACCTTTTTTAATTAGTTTTTTTCTGATTTTCATTCTGGAGCTCCTAAGGATACTATTTTTGGGCTCAGCATATATCGTTTATGTTAGTATCTGTGTCAAACCACAACTTTAGCATCATTGTGTTTTTAAGGTTTACTCAAGGTTTCATTCAAATTTGTTTACTGGTTCGGGAGATATTTTCCTTTCCATTGTTGCCAATGTGCTGTTCAAGACAGGAGACTGTGACGAAGTGAAGATTACAATGTAATCTGCTGACTTCCTTAGATTGATAACTTTAACTAACTGTTTTTTATAATATGAATGTTTTTGTGCAATGCCCTGAGATGACATTTATGACCTGGCGCTTTGTAGATAAACTGAATTCAATTGACTTAACAAACAGACAAGAATACACAGGAATACGATTGCCACCTTTCAAGACATCAGGTGATCATAAGAGTGGAAGAGACACTGGTGTTTTGTAAAGAGCCATTTACTACATGAAAAACTGAATAAAATGATCTTTTCCACTTGTAAATTAGTAAAATAAGCTGAAAACAAAATACTATTTAATAATGTTAAAATAAGAACCTTTTAGCAAATTATAAGCCACACAAAATGACCCTGCCATCAGTTGTATTATTGATTACTTCTAGAGCCCATTGTGGCTTTATTTCCAGTTCTTGGCTCTGATAATGCATGCTAATTATTTGATTTTCTGTCAAAGTTTGATGGTAAACTACTTGTCCAAATTAAAAAAAGGTAGTGTAATTTATGTTTTACGGTGGCCGTACTGACTTAAAAAAAGGTCAAAGACAGCCTAACACGTGCTGTCTCTCTCGTTAACATTTAAAGACCTGTAATGAAAGAAAAGACCTTATGTTCAGACAAGTTGAGGTAAACAACCAACAGGGTGTTGACCACAGCAGTGAGTCAGTGTCTGTGCCGCTGCACACGTTCCTCTCAGACAGATAATCTGAGGCATTAGATCAGATCCTCACAGGTGAAAGGGCACAAAGGACGCTGCAGAAAGAAAGTGAAGAAGTGACTAAACCCAAGAAAGACTAATATTCTTCTGTTTCTTGATGCATTTATTCCTGGTTGCCTGAATGCCGTCAGTACTATTGCTTTCCTGTTATCTATTTTTCAATACATTTTTTCCACTAAGGACTTTGTGCTATTTTAGCAGTTCACCAAAATGTTCACCTCAATCAGAAGATGGGTGCTATGACTTTTGATATCTGCAACATCTATACCTTTAAAAAATATTTCAACTTTTTATTTATGGGGAGTTCCCTTCAATTCCTCTAAAAGCACTGCTCTTTGAAATCTACTTCAGCTTATTGCTTCTGATTTTGTCTTATGCTACTTCTGTTTTTAACAACCATTCTGCTATGTTTATCTTTTAATTAGCACTGTTAAACTTTTAGCTTTTAACAAGCCTTTTGTTACCTTTATTTTAAAAATACTGTTCTCCTTTTAACTTTTTTTCTCCAGTGTTTCTCGTGCCATTATCCAAGGAGGGCGGCCTGCCCGCCCTGCCCAGCAAAATCCCTCCCATCCCACTCCACTGATGTAAGTTCTGTTACTTCTGAACAGGGAGCGGAGATTATAGTAACAAGATAAATGGCTTCAACCTGGGATTAGTAACATAGCACTCCACTCTCAGCATTCACACTGAGTGTTCACAGAAAATATAATTTTTCTAATTTTAAATGAACATTACTAACAAGTTTAAAGGTGAGTTAACCTAGTTAGCAACTAGACAAGGCAGTGTATGTAACTCACATCATCGTCTCCAAACAGATCTGTTAAGATGAATTGATCCTGGACATGAGTCACTGACTAATGATTACTAAAACAGCCAGACTAAGTTTTGGGTTTTCAATCTCAGTCAAATGGTTGAAAATCAGCCATTTAAAATAAACTTCATATCACAACTTAGTTTATCCTTTAAACTATTTCAACTGTTACAACTCAAATGCAGAAAAGAAACTATATAAAAGATAAAATAAATTCAATGGGCCTCATGCAAGAACATGTTCGTATTCTTATCCTAAATTTCTCTTACTTTTGTTCGTACAAAGGGTTCGTACGAACATGTCACGTCAGATTCAACAAACTCTTCTATCTTCAGGAAAAGTGTGTAAATTCCACCTGTTCGTATCCAGCTGCTTGTGCACGCGAGAGGAGATTAGCATAATTACCACCCCAAAAACACCATAAAAGGCTGTGTTTCCTGCCTCAGATACAAGGAAGTGTCCATTCATGAAAATGACAGCGAAAACTAAAAAAATTACGAGTTCAGAGATTGAAGTCCGTCTGTCAGAGATCCAGAAAAGAAAATCTGTCATTTTTAGCAGGTCAGCTGTGGAATAAAAAGAGCTGCTAAAAGCATAAACAACTGTGTAAAATCATTTTCATTTATTCAGAAGACACGCCGTCGCTTATGTATCCCCTCTGGCCTGGGAATGTCTCGGAGTCCCCCAGGACGAGCTGGAAAGTGTCGCTGGGGAGAGGGAAGTCTGGGTCTCTCTGCTGCTGCCCCCGCGACCCGATCCCGGATAAGCTGGCCAGACGGACAATTTATATTGTTAGTCTAAATTATTACGTATAAAATTACAACTCTAATTCCAGCAGAATAGCCTATTGTCAAGATAATCATAGAGTGTGATTTATTTTCAACTCAAAAAATCTTCAAACTCACGAAATATAAAGTTATTAGTGAAGAAAACCCGTCTGGATAACAAATTATATATATATATATATACGACAGGTCTGGACCACTTGTGAATTTTGTTCCTATCTGAAAGAAATCTTAGAATACGAAAACATTGGTGAATGCCACAAATTCTCCTAAATCACTCGTGCGCACAACTGAACAACAAATCTGTGCGTACGAACGGTTCTTGCATGAGGCCCAATGAAACTAGAATTCCTTGAAGATATGCATATTACCCGTCACATTGCATGCACAACTTGTTAGCTCACTCAAATCTGTTAGCCCTCAGAGTAAGTGATGGAATCACTCAGTTACTACAACACAATACTTTAGCTCAGAATCTGTGACGTCAGTTAAGGTGCAGACATGTTTGTGTTTGCTATTGGTTATCGGTGGGAGTGGATAATGTTTTAAGAACCCACAATGACCAGTTGCTTAATTGACCCCAAAAAAACCAAAAATATTTTTTAAGCTTATGAACAGCTACATGTTTTTAGGTCTTAAGGTGACCTCAGCCCTACCTGATTCAACATCTAGTGAGTGCTTGTCAATGGCCAGGTTCATGGTCTGATATGCAGTGTTGGCAAAGTCTTCCAGGATCAGGTAGATGATATTGGTAACCTCTTGAGGAACTGGTTTCCCAAACCGCATTCTGCTGTTCACAACAATGCTGCCATTCCTGAAGTTGAGGATCTCCAGGTTCTGGAAGTTGCTCAGGTTGGATTGCAGGTAGGGGACCAACTGCAAAGCAAAGATTGGAATGTGTTAAATGCTTCTTAATTCTAAAAAATGTTTTTACTTTGAGCAGAGTCTTAGAGTTCTCACCAGTTCTAGGAATTGTTGTTCTAGAGCTTTGTACTCTGAGGAGCTCTTGTTGAAGAGGTCCATGGAAAACACCATGTTGGTCACCCTCAAGCTGAAGAAAACAGTTAAATCTCTGCCTGGTCTGGTTGGTAGCGCAATTGTCTCCAGGTCTGAGCCCAGAGCTCCACTGAAGAAGCCACTGCTTTCACCTTCTTTGGCCCTGGTGTCGTACTGGAATACATCAATGCTGACATCGATGCTTGGCACGTCTGGGAAATCTTGTTCGAAAGGCTGGAGTTTATCTGCAGAAGTGCTATCATTGAACTGTGGTAGGGAGGGCATTGGAGTTTGAAGGATATCAACATTTACTTTTTCCCCTAAAACTTTGGTTTCCTTTCCTGAAGATTCCCTTTCAGAAGGTTGTGCTTCCTTTGTTAATAGTTCTACTTCTCTTTCAGGAGGTTGTATTTTTGTCCCTGAAATGTATACACCTGCTTCAGAAGGTTGGACTTCTTTCTCTGAAGATTTTACTTGCTCTCCGGGAGAATCCTCTACTCTTCCAAAAAGTTGTTCATCAACTATCACATGTTCTACTTCCTCTTGCAAAGGTTCTTCTTTCCCTGCAGAAGTTTCTACTTTGCTTCCTATTTCAGAAGTTTTCTCTTTGCCGCCTGAAAGTTCTATTTTGCCTCCTATTTCAGAAAGGTCGACTTTATCTCCAGAAGGTTCAACGTTGCCTCCCAAAGATTCTGTTTCCAATTCTGAAACTTTTGCTGTTGTTGAGGAAACTTCTGATACTCCAACAAAATCAGTTGAAGGACTTACTGTTTTGTTTACAACCACTGTTACAAATGGGACTTCTGGGGCCACGGTGCTTACTGGAATTTCAGTTTCTTCATCATGGTTTTGGTGCTCCTGGTGAAAGATATCCTCATCCTCTGGCGCCAAATCAGAGACTCGAGTGAATGGCGAGTCCTTCTCAGGAGAGAGCGCAACACCACTGCTGTGGTCTGGAACTACAGAAGGAGTTAGGACAGGAGATACTGTTGTTGTAGTAATAACAAAAACCTCATCCACAACCAGGTCATGATCCAGGACTTTAGTTTGTGCTGTTGTTGTTGAGTAACTTGTGTCTAAATGCTTTTCTTCCATAATTTCAACTGCTTCATGAATTTTTGTGTCTGTAAGAGGTGGTTCAGGTTTATGGGTGAAGACCTCCAGTTGAGATGGTTCATCTGTGGCTTTTTCAGAGATAAGTTCACTGACTGTGGCTGCTTGGACTTCAACAAAAGATGAGTCTAAAGTTTGAGGAGCGTCTGTATAAAGGATTTCAAGTAATTCATGTGTAACAGACCTGTCTTCAGCCTCTTTCTGCTCTTCCTTTGGCTCTGAGGCAACTGTTATCACTGGTTTCTCTGCTACTGATTTAGTTATCATTTCCAACGGTTCGGTCACCTCTTGAAGCCTGATATATGAATCAGCTGGACCAGAAGAACCAGCAGACTCGTAAGCATCAGGTTCAGGTGAAAATGTGACTGGTAATGCAAAGGTATGTGTTTCATACAGGGAGGTGTCCTCATGGAAACCAGATGCTTCCTCTGTTTGTTTAGAAAATCCCACACTTAGCGTTCCTGTTGTTGAGAACACGGGTAACTGGGCTGTGGTTGAGTCCTGTGGTTCTATGCTAATGTGTGGTGTCACCTCCGTGTGTCCATCCAAAGAGGATTCTTCAACAGCAGGCACTGTTGTCACCTTAAAACGAACTGTCTCTGTGACTTCTCTTGTTGCAACTAAATTGTCTGCCTTAGTAGGTGGCATTTCTTCAGCAGCCATGTCCTCATCTGTATCCACCTCCAAGTCCGGTGGGGGCAGAACCTCCAGGCTGCCATCACTTCTGTTATATATGATGTCAGATGTTTCTGAAGTTTGCCAGGACCACAGATCCATGCTCTGATCATCTCCTGAGGAACCAGAGCCAGATGTGTCCTCAAACATATCCTCAGAGGATGTTGGAGGTGTTTTGGCTGCAGAGGAGTCTTCAGAAAGGACTCCTCGTTCAACTTCGCTACCGAAGAGGAAACCTTCATCTTCAATATTTCCACGGTCTTAAAAAAATGACAATGCACAGGAATTTTTAACATTAGCATCCTTAGAACTAAAGCAAACCAATTAACCATTTCTAATTTTTTATGGAAAAGGTGAATGTTGTATTTGTTTTTCACCATTTTTCTGTTCAGATACTGAATTTATTTACCTTTTTTAGTCGCTGGCCCCAGGTCAAAGGTGTTTTCTAGAAACTCAACAGACGGTAAAGGAGATGTGCTCTCGTCAAACATAAAGACATCGTTTTCACTCACTGCCTCACTCTGAGGACCTTTCCACTGGTCCAAGGTGTCAAAAAGGAAGTCCTCCTTTTTCAGGAAAACATTGCTGGAATCTGGCTCGTGGCTTGGAGCATCCGGAGGTTTCTCTGCAGCAAGGATGTTATCCTGAGAATAAAGAAAATGAATTCAAATCTGCACTTTAAAGAACTGGATTCACATTTCCCTTGCTGACAGGTGACAGAAGCATTGGTGGGCAAAAAATCCACCTTCAAAACATTTCTAAAAATAAACTGATTACATTTGGAATTGACTCACCATGCTATCATAGGCATCGCCTGGTTTACTTGTGGGTTTCACAGAAGGCAACACATTCTCTGCTGCAGACACAAACACCATCTGTTAGATTCAAAGCTTTTTTCAGACAAAAACATCATGTTTTTTTGTCTGAGTATTGACTAAAACCGAAATAGAATGATAGTTGTTTTTGTTATGATCTAATCAATGTTGAGTTTGAGGCTTTTCAGACATGATTTAACTGCTGAGGTCACAAGTTTACAGGTCACATCTGGTAGAACCTCTTTGGGAACCCAAAGGCCAATTTTAAACTTTTGAAATGTTGAAAAGTAGAGCAGGTACAAACAATGCAGCACCATTTTCCAGGCTGCTGCCCATCAGGGAGTTGTCTTTGTGCAGTGCCTCTGTGATGAAGTTGCGGAAGTCCGTGATGGTGTAGATGACGGTGGGCTGTTCCGGGGGTCCCAGGTAGTTCTTCTCCGCCAGGTTGTTCTGCAGAGTGATGAAGTCCAGAGTGTCATTGGAGATTCCACCGCCGTCCACCTCCACCTCAAAAATGATGGCGTAGTGCACCTGAACCACCAGACCCCTGACAAGACCCAAACATAGTCACATGAGCCACTTCCAGACTGTTAAACTCAGATGTTTAACATGAAATAATCAAGAATGATTTAAAAATAAACAAATATTTTAAAAACTCCCCCATTATCAGGACATAAAATAAAATAGAAAAACACAAAATATTCCAATAAATAAAGAAAATGTCAACAATAAGAAAAAAAAAATCAATGAGCAGCTTTGTTATGTTCAGTTGTTTGGAAAATAGCTAATACATGACAAATACATTTCCAGAAATTACAAAATTCCAAAGACTTTCACTAAAAAGTCTTGTGTAATAAAACTGAAAACAAATAACCAAATAAATTATATTTTGTGAAAAAATTTAAAGAAATGTTTTAAATTTGTCAGATTTTAAATAAACTGATTATAGCTAAAATTAGAAAAACACTTGCAAAACTTGAGCGTATTGTAACTAAAGGACATAGCAGTAAAATAAACGTTAAAGCTAAAAGTCAAAGAAATAAACCGTACCGCTGCAGGACTGTGTTTGTTGTACATGTACCCGTATCGAACCGTATCGAACAGAGCTTTAGGTTCAATACACACTTGTATCGAACAATACAGATTTTTAAAACATATTTTATCAACTTGTCTTCTGAAGATGCTCTGTGTTGAAGGATCAGTGGATCTGTGTTCGACTACTAGGCTGCATTTTTGAGCGCAGATCCATGGAGAAACTTGCTGTTTCAGAAACATTTAATTTAAAAACTGTACTTTTGAGGTTAAACAAATGTTCATAATTAATTTAAATAAATTACAAGTTAAAAGGGGCATGGAAATTTATCTTTTTTGTATTGAAAACATATCCAACTGTGAGACTAATGTATCGAAACGAACCGAATCGTGAATTTTCTGTATCGTTGCACCCCTGATATATAAATATATATAAATTAATAT